CTTACCTTTAGTCTGACCCCTCATTACAAATATAAGGAAAATGAGGGTCAGAGAGATGAATTACTTGTCCAAAGTCACAGACAGTTTACAGCAGAGCCAAGAAGAGAACCCAGGTCCTGTGACTTCAAGTTCAAATTTCCTTTCTCCATTAAAGGTTACTTAACTTTTATGTCTGGGCTTAATATACTAGCTAATTATTGAATTCCACACATTTTCTTCAAAACTGCGGAAAATGCTACTCTTCTTAACGTATCTCTTTACCACGTATCTCTCCAAAGAAAAAAGGAAAAGAGTTACGGTTTCCATCCTACATACAAGGGAATAAAAACAACGCGGTCAAATGGCTTGCCCAAGATCACAAGGCTGAACTCCACACAGTAATGCTTGTATGATTTTTAAGTGCCAACAAACTGAATACACTGTTTCTAATAGAAACAATGTAAACACGTCATGACACTTCTATTACAGCGGGGTCACATGCTGTTACTTCCCATACTTTCCATCTCCACAGCCTCCAATATTAATGTATATTACAGTCCATAATGTAAAGTACATAGTAAATGGACATATGACCACAAACCAAGTAACAGGATCTGTCTAAAAAGCAGAATTCTACTTTCACAGTAAACATTCTGACACATACTTTGGTTATGAGAAATTAAACCAAACATCTCATTTCTCACATCCTTTTATGTGTCCTAAAACAATCTTCTTTAAATACTAAGGAAAGCCCTCTTGTCCAGGTACAGTGCAAAACTACAAACAGCTATCTTACCAAATCTTTACTACCTTGGGAAATATTCTCTCTCAACCTTCATCTCTCTTCAGACAGAAAACTGGTTGGTTGGTTGGTTGGTTGGTTGGCTGGGTCTCAGAAGGGAATACTGTCTCCTCATGAGAGCGGGTCTTCTTTACATCTTTACCTTTCTTGAGGTGCTACAACTAGAACCCTGCAGTTTCCTTTTCCAAGTGCTGCTGCTCCATGTGAAATAGAGGGCCGCTGCCTTCATCCATCCCACTGTTCCATGAGGGACCATGTGGGAACATCGATGCCCTTGCATCTCCCTTGGACCATCATGCTGCATTTAAGCATCACCCAAAGCATGAAGCTACACAACTGATAGGACTGCAAAAGCCACAGTGACCCCAATTCTGTCTCATTTAACTCAGTCAGAACAATGGCCTGGTTTATTTGCTCACTCTTAGTTTGAGGGTAATGTTACATAAACCAGCACTGGAAGTTAAAAAGCACATCCAATTTCTCAATTGTAACATAATTTAAGCCAAAAACTTTAAAAAGCAGTTTGATATTAAAGCCTCTAACAGTAAACTAGGTCTTTAGAAAAATATTAAGTTTTATTATTATAACTTTAAGAGGATATTACAGAGATGCTAAGGCAAATCATAAGGAAGACTTAGCAGAATGTCATACACAAGTAAGGAAAGTTATCTAACCCTGGCCTAATTAAAACAGGCTTTTCTCACATATCTTTCCCAGACCAAAACAAAAAAAACCCCACCAGTATCAAAATAGAACTGATATTTAAACTGAGTTTACAAACACAGACAGAATGGTATTAGAAAATTATCAAAAACAAGGATCTCTGAAAAACAGAGAAAAATTACCTTCCCACCCACTTTTTTTTTGAGAGAGAGAACAGGGGTTGGGGGGAGAGAGAGAGACATCAATTTTTTGCTCCACTTACTTATGCACTCTTGGTGGGTTCTTGTATGTGCCTTTGTGGGGATTGAACCTGCAACCCTGGCATATCGGGACGGCACTCTAACAAAATGAGCTACCGAGCCAGGGCCTCCACCCATTTTTAATCACCTAAATAAGTGATGAATAAAAATATACCATAACATTGGGAAATTTTCTCATTATTAGAACTAGCATCTGTTAACTAAACTAGTAGCTTCGGTACAGTTGACAAATTAATAACAAGTAAGCCTATCACTCAGGAGAACAAGTGAATAATACAGGGGCAAAGGTGCGCTACAGTAATTTAGGCCTACATTTACAGTAGGATTTAGAGTCATCACCATCGCTACATTGTACTGAGTGCTTCCTGATACTTACATTGCATTAAGACTTGATGTGTACCATTTCATTTAATCATCACTGTAACCTTCTAAGACATCCTATTGTCATTCTCTGGTTATAAAGGAGGTACCTAAGGGACCAAGATATTAGTTTGTCCAGGATCAAGGTTTATGCCCCAAAGCAAAACTCAGTACCTTCCCAGGGTCTTAACCCTTACAATGCTACGATAAGAAATAACGCTTACGCGAAGTAAGGCATGAAATTTCAAGTCCTAAATCAGCGTTTGGCAGACTTTTTCTGTAAAGGGCCAGATAAAAAGTGTAGGCTTCACAGGCACTACTACCTCCGTCATAAGACCGCAACTCCACTGCTGAGCTGCCAGTGCAGCCACAGACCACCCATAAAGGGACGAGCAGGGCTGCACGCCAAATACCTTCATCTGTGAACATTGATATTTGCATTTCATATAACTTGCACATGTCTGAAATAGTACTCTTTTGATTTTTTTCTAAGCATTTCAAATTTAATCATTCTTAGTTCATAGCTCATACAAAAAAAAAGCTGTGGGCCAGATTTGGCCAAAGGCTGAATTCTGCCAACTTCTTCCTAAATAATGCAGAAAAATATAATTTTTTAACTAAACAGCTCTTCTCACAAATGCTAATTTGTAACCTGCTTCAATACTTTGATGCTTTGATGAAACTCAAAGTCGCCATAAACTTTGCCATCTGTCCCAAAATAATGAAAACTTCCAAAAGTTGCAAACTGCAGGTACTGCACACAGATGTCCTAAGAATGAGAATCACAACGTTGTGAAACTGGAAGAGATCTAACACATTCTCATTCCTTATGAGACTAAACTAAACAATGAACAATATTTAGCTCATTTCATGCCATTTCTCTTCCGCTATCACAGTCTTCTGAAGAAAACAGTTGCTAGTCCCTGACATGTGTTAAACGCATTTACAGTCAACAATGAATCTATATATATGATGCAGACAACACACCCAGGCCTTCTTGAAAAGGGAAAACACTGCTGAATAAGTCATCTAAACAGAGAATAAGAGAAAAAGAAAGAAGTGAAGATGGATATATTGACATTTAAGTCTCAGCCCAACTGCAGAATAGCTTCTGATTGGGAAATGATGCGGGGGGTGGGAAAAGAAAATAAAAGGAACATAACTACTGGAATTCAAACCAACATCAAAGACCCTAATGACAGTTGAGCCTGCCTGGCTGCTTCTGAGTCTGTCCCTAGAAAACAAAACAGTTATGTAACTGAGAAAGGTTCTTGCAATGAACATTTCCTCTCTGGCCCACTTACACCCTGCCACCCACCTCAATGTGCACCACTACAGAGTAAACTGGGCTTGCACCCCAGCTATGGCTGGACAGGTCTCTGTCCAAAGTGCTGCTTTACCCCGCGGCCTGCTCTGGGGACAACGGTATGGAGATGACTGGCTTGAGCACAACAGTTCCAGTCTCCCACCACACTATGGACTTAGTCTATTGAGCATCACCACATCACCAATTTTAAAAGTGAAACAGACTCCAGGTAGTCCTGAAAGTGGAAATCACAACAGCATGATGCCCCATCTTCACAAACAGCCCTATTGGAATGAATCCACATCAACAAGTTCTTGAAAAACTTTGAGATCATGTTGTAGCAGCAAATAAAGCTTCTATTTCCTTCACTCTCAAGCCCCAAGGAGCAAATGTCAAAATGCCCAGTTAGACTTCAATTTACCCAATAAGAAAAAAAAAACCTGAATCACAACCACCACTACCCCAAAATACTGCAACAATAAATCTAATTACTGGACCAAACTAGCACATCTCCTGGACTCTGAGAGCCACTGTACTCTAGCACCATATGCTTTCTTTCTTCCAGTTGAAATACAAATATAGACAACGTTTACAAAAGCAAGCGATGTATCAGAAGTTATTCCTGTTCTGAATGACTTAAAAGGTCTAAATCTGTGCCAAGTAAAAGTCTGAAAGAATGGAACATAAAAGAGATGCTGACAACAATGCAATGTGGCCCAGCTGCCAGCTATCCGTGTAGCATCACGCAGTGCCCCAAGCATTTTAAAAGCAAACTGCAATTCTGCATGCAGATCAAAATTATAATTATCCCAATTCTATTTCCTAAAAGCTAACTATGAAACTGCATCCCAAGCACCCTGCTGTGGGTCTCCTCCCCTCTCCCTTCGTTGAGCTTCAGCAAGAGAAGGTGAAGTTAAAAGAGGACCAGAAGTGGACTAAAACTAAGGAATCAAGCTTGACCTGCTCTTCCCACCATTTCTTGTGATCTGTTTGCGAAAACATTCAACATAAATATTTCAACCCAACAAAATGAGAAAGGCACGATATGACGGTGGCGGGGAGTTCAAGGAGGAAAGAAAAGGGACACTAAGTCACCAGCATCGTCCAATACGTACCAGCAACTTCAGCCAATTACACAGATGAGAGGGAAAACTCCACGGGAGTCCCCGCGAGCGAAGACCTGTTGGAGACCAGTCGCTCAGCCTGCCCCCACCAACCCCGGGGGCAGCACCGCAGGGAAACCCTCGCGCGCGGACCACTGCCCGTGCTGTGTCCCCGGAGCCCCGCTGCCATCCCTGGGAGTCGCGGCTCGAGCCTGCCTGGAGCCTCGGGCTTGAGCACCGCAGAGGGCAAGAAATGCGTCCGCACCCTCGCCTGCCGAGGCCGTGGGGCCACGGGGATGCTACCGCGGAAGGCGGTCGGCTCGGAGCCGGGTGCCCGCTGGAGGCTGGGGCACTGAGCACGGAGGGACAGGGGAAACCCGAGATGGTCTAAGAACATTCGATCCGGAACCTTCACTTGAAAAGGAATTCTTTTTTTCCAAAAAGGAAAGCAAGGCCCCCCGCAGCCTTCCCCGCGGCGCCTGCCCACGTCACCGGCGCCCCCGGCCCGCCCGCGCCCCCCGCCTTACCGAGCCCCGCGGCCCCGCCGCGCCGCTGCGGCCTCGCTGCGCCCGGATCGCCGCTCCGTGTCTGCCCTCCGCGGGCACCGGGCCCGCCGCCCTTTCCTCCTCGGCCTCCTCGTCCTCCTCGTCTTCGCCTCCGAGCACCGCTCACGCCGCAAGCCTAACGCCTGGCCGCCCAAGGCAGCCGCGGAGGCTCGGCCGGGCGCCCCCCGCGCCAGCGCCTCATCCCGCCCGGCCGCCCGTCAGGCTCGGGGGCGGGGACGCCGGGCTCCCGGCCGCGGCCTCACAGTCCCCACCTCCGTCACGCGCCACGCTCGCCCGCCCCGGCGGAGTCGGCCCGGGTCCGCGGTCTTCGGGCTCGGAGCCCCTACCAGCCGCCCTCGAGCCGCCCCCGCCGCGCCCCCGCCTCGCTCGCCGGCGCGCGCCCGCCGGAGCCCGCCGCCCGCCGGGCCTCCGCCTCCTGCGCTCCGCCTCCTCCTGCACCGCGGCGCCCGCAGCGGGGAGAAGAGGCGCGCGACCGCGGCCGCGGGCACGAGTACGCGCGAGGGGGGCGGGCGGAGCGCGCGCGCGGCCGTGGGCGGCGGGGGCGCGCCCAGGCCTCGCCTGCCGTTGTCCCGGGAGTGCACGTGCACGGCGTGGGGGCCGCAGGGGTGGGCGGGGAGCGTTAAGGGCACTGAGACACTGCCCTAGAGGTTCGGGCGCGTCTTTCGCCGCGACTTCTGTGTTGCGCTGCGGTGCGAAAATTAAAAAACGTGCCGCAGCAGCGGTAACATCGGGAAGAGACCTCCTGTGAGACTACGGCAGTAGGTCCTCTCCACTCCCTGCTGACCCCTGGATACTGTCACCGAGCCGGGGAGGAAGGGGGCGTTGCCGCGAGTCAGGAAGATCCTAGTCTCTCCATCTCCTGCGCAAATCGATCTAAAATCGGCTCCCAGCGGTTACTATGGGGAATGCGGGATCTAAAAGTTCCTTCGGTTGCTTCTTCATTTAAGAGTTACGGACCAAGAGATTGGAAGTGACATGGCAGGGAAGAGGCAGGACAAGAACGGGTGAAGGCAAACCTGAAGGTGCGTGGGAGGACTGAAAAGAGGTTCTGGAGAGGAGTGGTGGAGCTTACAGAAAACCCCCTGCCTGTGGATGGCACTAACCCCGTTCCTTGCCCTGTTTCCTTTGTTCATCCTCTAAAGCCTGCTCAGTACTTCCGCAGAAACAACCATCTGTGTAACAGCATATATCTTGACATTCTACCATTTCATTGTTTTCCTTTTATATATGTACCTTTTACTCCTTCTGACCTATTCCATATCTAAATGTTGGGGGGAGCAGTTAACCTACATAATTTAACTCTTGGTCCTACATCATCTAATGCCACTGCAGTGATTCGGGTCCACTTAACACTTAGTCATTTCAGTGGGAGTCTTTGAACGTAAAACGTGGCCTTGACCACACTTAGCAGAATTTCAAGGGCATGTACGCGAAGCTGGATTCCACCACGTTCTGGAGAGAAATTAGGCAGTGAACATGGGCAACAATCCCACTCTTGCCGGTTTCAATATAATCAACGTTGACCAAGATTCTAGATGCTTTTTTTTTTTTTAGCAGGGAACAAGGGTTGGAATGAGAAGATTTGCAGAGAGGCACAGACTGGGATGGGAAAGTTTAAAGAAGCCTTCTGCAATAAATGTGTCCTGATACATAGTCACCTACTGGAAGCAGGTGCACTTAGGATCCATAGCATTCTTCATGGGAATTTCCTAAATGCTAGTGAAAGAAAAGAGCCAAGCAAATGAGGAAAACTAGAAACCTTCAACTTCAACATAAACCCAGAGTTTAAACATTACTTGCTACAAACTGCAACCATTTCAGAAGCTCACCTTTTGACCACAGAGAGCCATCTCTTCCAGAGAGAAGCAAGTATGCAGAGAGGAATTCAGTAGCTTGTGTTGATACTGGAAATGGTGAGTGCTAAACATAAAACCTCCTGTTATGTCAAGAGGAAGTCAGCACGGGACATTAAACCAAGTCACCATGAGAAGCAAGTTTTGCCCAAGGCTCTAGTCCCTTTACTACCGACAAGTAAGATAATGACATTCTGTATTTTTTTTTTTTTTGCAAAGCCTTCACATCCCACAGTTTTGTCATCACATCCTAAAATTCAGCTGCACTGGCTGAGTGTTAAATGGTTTACATGCAGCTGGTGGAAAAGTGGATAACATATAAAGGAGCTGGGATCTGTGCACATATTGGATGACAGATATTTTACTTCAGAGTCTCAAAACATTTTAGTATCTTTTCATCTATCGGCACTATGTCTAGGCCAGAGAAAGAACAAGTGGATTCCTTATGTGTATCCCAAATGTCAGAGATATTTGAGCAAGCTCGAGGGTGCTGATACTCCTTACTCTCGTTCACATCCAGCATTTGTCCTCTTTGGAAAGAAGCATTCACATGCCCTACAAATAGAGAGTTATGGTTGCTAAACCTGCCCATAAACTGAAGGTTGTGACTTCTGGACAACTCTGTGGACAGCTAAACTTACTGTTTCAGGTGGTTGTGACCAGTTACCTAATAATACCCTCAGTGATCCAATTTATTTATCCTAAAAACCCCTAAAAAAGAAAAAGCCCGTCCAGCTGTAAAATAATGTTCAATAACTGCATATGGTTTGATTCCATATTCCCAAGGTGAGGGACAGAAGGGGGGAGAAAAAGACAAATTCTCCCTCTCTCTCTCAGAAGCTGCTGGAGGCCTCAGCCTGGCCTCCTTTCTCAGCCCTGGCACTGTTGTCTTCTGGTGGTAGCATCTGGGCTCACTCTTGGCATCTCGGATCTGTTGCACTGCAGTCCCCTCCAGGCACTAAGCAGCGTCATGGTGCAGACAAGTAGAGCCAGCAAGGAGAGCATCCCCGCAGGTCAGCGCAACACACTTACCTAACCTTGAGTTTCAGAGAGAGCCTGGGCACTGAGCAAGCGAGAGAAAGCAAGCTTATTTTCATTCTCAAATTGAATGCTCAACAGCTGGCTTGAGAAAAATGAGTTGCTGAAAGTAGGCCAGGCTTAACAGAGAATTCTCTGATCGTGACATTTGACATTGCCTTGTTTATTTTTTTTTCCTGCCCACAGGGCCAGTGCCATATTGTGTCCCTATAAGACAAGACAGCAAAATTAATTGTTGAAAAAGGCATGTTGCCTGTGTGTGGCATCCTCCCAGCTAATATGGATGTCCATAGAGCAGCCTCTCAAAACATTCAGTCCTTTGCACCAAAAAACTACTATCGAGTAACATTTTAGAAAGTCGTCAGCCATCCTATTCCCTGCTTATGTGACAAATCCCTGGGACATTCATTGAAATGATCAATTTTCCATCTTCTCTCCTCTCCTGGTCACATTTTGGTTCGATGTTCTCTATCATGATAGTTTAGAACTTTTACTTGTCCTGCCACAAATGTTTGGGTTTTTTAAGTCTCTAAATCCTATCATCTGTACTTACCTACATGTCTGCTCTTGAGCAGTTCAGCCAGATAGTAGCTCCCTTTCTACTTCCTCCACTGGGTCCTTCTCCTCTTTCAGAATTCTAAATGTTGACTGCCCCAGGGTTCTGACCTTCAACCTTTCCCATTCTTTCTACTCTCCCTCCCCCAGCAGTCCCCTGCAGCTCTCGGCTCTAATGGCCTCCATTCACTGATGTATATCTTTAACCTTGACCTCTCCCCAGCACTCCAGGCTGAAAAATCCAGCCGCCTACTGACAACTCCACTCGGATATCTCAAACTTAATGTGTCCAAAACAGAATGCTTGATGTTTCACATTAAAAACAAAACTCAAAGTTGCTTCCTGCGACTCTTCCCCATCTCATAGCAAAAACACCCCTTTCTCTGAAACACTGCATTCATTTTAGTAGCAAATCCTTCCGGTTCTACCTTCAAAACATATACTGAGTCTAATCTCTTTCCTTTCTCCGAACCACTGACACCCTCATCTGCCCCTCATAATCTCCTTCCTGGGTGACTAATTGGTGTCCTTGTTTTCATTCTTTCCCCTCCATGGGCTCAACTCAGCAAACAGAATTTCTTTTAAAACATTAGTAGGATAATGTCCCACTCCTTGCTGAAAACTCTCAGTGCTCTATGCTTCTAATCACACTATGACAAAATCCAAAGTCCTCTTCCCAGTCTTTCGAGACCTTCAGCCCTTATTCACCTCTCCAGTCCTGACTTAACATTCACTCCACCCCAGCTGCCCAGGGCTGGCCTCCAGCCGTTCCCTCTACCAGCAAGGAACACTTCTTCCTAGTTTTTAGACGAGATCGGGCATGTTCAGGGTGGTATGACCGTATTCCTAGCTTTTCAACTGACCTCAACTGCTAAAATAGTGTTGCCTTCTGCTCCCTGACTCTGCTTTTTTTTTTTTTAACAGCAGTTACCACTACATGATTGTGTTTGTACATGATTGTTTACTACTTGCCTCTCTTACTAAAATAAATGCTCCACGAGGGCAGGGAGTTTGTTTATTCACCATTGAATCCGCATCGCCAAGGAAGTGAAGAAATAGTACTGTCAGCTTCTGGAATCTCTCTGCTCATTTATTTTCTGCTGTCACTTATTGCTCTGGAGCTGTCTTCTACGGACTTACTGCAAGTGGGGACTACCGCAAATTATAAAATTATGTAATTTGCAATTCACTGCAAATCAAAACAAATTATACTGAAAATCCAAGAAAAGATCAAGAATCAGCAGAGAGGGGTACATATTAAATGAGTAATGTAACGCCTGCACGGCAAAATCATAGGCTAACTTGCAGTTAGGTTTTGATATATAAAAGTTAAAGGCACAGAACATTAAAGCCAAATTACATCTCATTCCCAAATGAAGTAATCGCCATGTTGGAAAGGAATGTGGTATATTTTAGGAGATGTTAGTAGTCCCTTTTTTTTATCTTGCCCCACGGTGTAACCTTGAACGAGTCAATTAACATTTCTGTGTTTCCATCTGTAAAATGGGCCTGATTTCTTCCTTCTTTTGTTATCATAAAAATTTAATTATTATTAAAAAACTTTGGAAGAAAGGAAATTTGGAAATCAACACTAATACTTATGTTTCCCAAATGTCTTTGTCTAATATTTTGAAAATGAGGAAGAAATACATATATATATATATTGAAATCAACTAAAGACATGAAAATCACCCAGCGTTTCTGAAATGACTAGAAAAAAAATGTCTGCGGCAGCAAAGCAACCTCAGTCACCGGAGCTCATCACCCACTGCCTGAGGTCTACACCTGGCATCCTCATGAACAGCACAGAACCCGCTTTATAGTCAGATGTGAACTTCAACCAGGAGATGAG